GCCAAATTAAAAAAAATCTAAACCCAAGTAAAATTATTACAATCTTTGCCTGTATCTGTTAAGCCTAAATCCAGCTCCTCTCACTTAGAAAATCCTAGGGGGACAACGTGTGTAAATGAGGCTTGTGGATTTGGTTCTTGATCTGAATCTTTACTTACTTCTGTACCATGGGCTGAAAATGATTATTTGTGAAAGGGTGACTAAGGCTTAATCTACTAAAATCTATATCCAATTTCCATGGTGAGTGTGGGGGAGGAGATTCCTGAATAATGATTCAAAACCCTCATGAACAGATCTGCAACTACCTCACATTAATCTTTTTTTGTCCTGTTTTAGGCAATACATTTTTTTTGTCTAACTTTAGTTTTTCACTTCTGTTTTGAAGCTGACTCTGGTTCCTCTTCTGTTGCTACCAAGTGAACATCAAAACTAGGACAGATCAAAGTCAACAGAGCTATGATAATTTGCACTTGAGGATCTGTCCTTGTTGATGGCAGTAAGTGCAGGCCTCATGAGCTCCACTTCAAGACATAAAACTGGACATAGTTTCTTCTGATTTGTAATAACTGGTTCTGTCAAGTAACTCAAGGTGATTGGAAGCATTTTCATTCAAAATCTCCAATTTGAGAAGTAGAGGAAAAGAAGTGGGTCAGAAGAGGATTTTGCTTCAGAGCAAACAACCCCTGTATCAGTGAGGAACAGGCACTCAGAATGACTGGTTTTAATGTCATGTAGGAATTGGACTTTGCAACTTTCTCTTAATGGGATTTGTCCTTCACTTATCAGCTTTTGACCATAAATTATCAAATATCATAGTATTCTCTTGAAAACATTGCCAAAGTCTTGTTTCTTACTTTGATGCTGCTGACACAGCACTTTCACTGCCACACTACAGTTTGCACTCTTATTACTTAATCCTGAAGAAGTCAGCCCATTTCTCTTGCATCAGAGGCCTGTGGTTTGCATCTCTCATAACATTAAAGGGAGAGCTCATCTTGGCTAAATCACATAGACTTAATAATTCTGCCAAAATAAACTATATAACTACAAACAGAAAGTTTTGTGTCAACTTAAGGGTGACTTACAAAGGAAAAAAGGTTGTGCCCTTTTTATGTTTTAATGATGAATAAAGAAGGTCTGAAAAATGCTTCTACTTGTTTGATCAGCATTTTTAAAGGAAATGTTTTCTTTACTTATTTTTGACATTGGAAGTTCAGGTCTTATGGAGGCTTGAAAATTTTATCTTGTAAACCAGTGAAATGGTGACATTACAAGAGAATGAAAGCTGGGTAATCAACAAGGGAGGGAATGTTTAGGTACTCTGCTTAAAAACATTTTATATTTCATTGTTTTTAACCACCTATTCACTTCAATGGTTAAGTACAGCATGAATAAAGGAAACCTTGAGTTTCAAGCTCCAAACTCTTATACTAAAGTGCTAGCCCACAATAAACATTGCTGAAATCTCTCAGTTGTCCAGGAAAATCAGGGAAGATGAAGCTTGCCATCCTCAATTTAAAGTAAACAAACAAACAAAAAATCCAAGCAAAAAAAAAAAAAGCATGAATCTGTGCCAGCCTTGCATCAGAAAGCAGTGCAGTCTAACTGAATGCCGGTGAGGGGTTAAACTGCTGTCCCCAGGCTCTCTTCTGGCAAAAATAGGACTGTCTATCTTGAGAAACTTTCTATAGTTGAAAAAAGGTTATGTAACAGAATTCTGGTTTTGGATTTTTTTTGGAAATATGCAACTATAATACACTATGAATAAACTCTCTGCTGCATAATGCATTCACTTCTGATATTCAAAGCAGTGGCAGATTCTGAAAAGTGTTTTGAAAGAATGCCTAAGTATGTGAAAGCTGACAAAGGATTATGTCACAAAATTAATGGGATACTTTGTTGTGAAAAGATCATGTTATGAAAGGCATCTGACTAGGCAAAAAAAGAATGAGATAAGTTAAAGGCCATCAGAATTAAATACGCAAATAAAACACTGAGGGAATAAGGAAGAAACTGTTATTAGACTTCAGAATAAAAACTGGAAATTCAGAGGAGAAAGCAATTGAAAATGAAGAGAGGATAGTAAGGCTGGGGATTAAGCTCAAGAAAAAAAAAAAGACATTTTAAACATTTACTATCGTGAATGTATGTTCTCCCCTGAAATTTAGGGAGGGAAAAGTAAAATACAGGGTTTGACAAAATCTCATTCCTAGCATTACATAGAAACTCCTGTTTCCTCTGAGCGCTGGCAATTTATGGTAAGTTATCCTTCACTGAAAACTACAGAACAAGTGAGGTCTGCTCTACAGTTTATTCTTTTATAATAACTTCATTTATTAATGAATCCCACTTACCAAATAAGAAATGTTAACATTTAAAGATACATCAATTCCCCTCAAATATACATGAAGGCAGATATTTGTTCCATCAGCAGTGCCCTCTTAACACAAGTCGATTTCCACAGAAGAGTCTTGTGTTCTTTTAGACTAGAGCAGGGGTGTCGAACATAAGGCCTGCAGGCTGGATCTGGTTGGCAGATCTGCTCTATCCAGTCTGATGAACTAAAGGACAAGGCTTGCCACAGAACCCTTGGGCCCTGGTGAACATGGTAATTGGCAGCAGGAGGGCAAGCAAGGGCTGGTATCACCCCAGTTACCCTCCAGTTGCTTCACCTGTCAGCGCTGCTGTGGCCCTCTCTCCTCACCTGCCAGTCCCTACTTCATGTCCTGTGCTGGAGCTACTGCCCTGGACAGTGAGGGCATGTGGCAGTGTCACTGGCAGGAACAGTTCCAGCTCTGCCATGGTGCACACTGCAGGGGCTGAAGCCAGTAGTCCGCCTGTGTCAGAACTGGAGCTCCCACTACTGTTACCCTGCTCCAGAGCTGCTGCTGTTACAACTTCCTTATGTTCCAGGCTAGATTCAGTCTGCAAGGACCCTTGTGGTCTGGATCCAGCCGCAGGGCACAAGGTGAGCTTGATACCCCCATTCTGGAAGTTATTCTAGCCTATCAGTTAAGTTGGTCTTTACTACCGAACATCTTTGCCATGGGGGAAAAACTGCTGTGGAAGCTGTGGAAGAGGTGGCTCATCCAGCTTTATCCTAATTCTGAACACCCAGTGCTGTTCAGGGGGCATCACAGAGAGCATGTTTGAGCTCTCATAGTTTCATAGTGCCTAGGGTCAGAAGGGACTCTCAAGCCATTAAAAATCTGAAAATTCTACTTGCTTTTCCAATTCTGCTTCTAGGGTTCTATATTTACTAAACGGGCTGATGCTGCCCCTGACTGTTAAGACCAAGGGTGGTCTTCACTTTTTACTTCCTTTGGTCTCTTCTTATTGTTTGGAATGTCACCAAATACTCTACATGAAATACTAGGTAGCAGATCTGTGGAAGACGAGATGTACAGATATAGAACCCCCCCCCGGAGTTTAAGCCCTTCGTTACCTTTCTCCACCATTTAATCACTTTGCTTTCAGTGGGACTATTTGTGGGGCTATTAAACACAAGTAAGCAGCAGTGTATGGTGGGTCGTTCTCCTTGCTGCTCACTGTAGATGCATTAACAGGTTTCAGAGAATGGAAGAGGGTGCCTAAGTCCACTTACATACCTAATAGGTAGGGACCTACTGAATTCGTGATTGTGTGATTTTTGTGGAAAACACGAAATCGGGTGGGCTCTGTGAAAAATGGTGGCCTCATTGCAAAAGAAAAAGAAAAAAAAAAAAAACCTTACTGAAAAGAAACTGTTGGCTCCCCAAAGGGAGCCAGCAGTCTTCATGGTGCTGTGGCCTGGCCACGTAGCCCGCCAGCGGGAAGAGGGGAGGGGGCACCTGGCATGAAGGGCTGCCAACAAGATATCGGCTGCCTTCACCCCTTGGCACTGAATGGCTGAGAGGGCTGCTTGTCATCCTATATATGACAGACAGCCATCACAACCAATCAGTGTTGAGGGCTGGGGCCACTGGGTACCTTCAGGCAATCAGAGGTGTGTGGGTCGGGGGGGCGGGGGGGGAGGGGCAGCTGTTGCACTCAGCCCACAAAAATGGTGGCTGGGCCCAGGATCTGCCTGCAAAATTGGCCAACTGCCTCCTCAGGTTAGGTAGACCCCTACTAATAGGTGGAATAGCATCTTACCTGCAGTTGTTAAAAAAACCATAGATATTTCAAGCCCGTTAATACTCTTCTTTATCCCCTTAAGCCCTTCAGTGACTTCCATGGCTGATTTACAGTAACTGTTTCTTGCAAAGATGAATCATCAAAGCTGCGCATAGCTATTGCTAACTGTAGTTTATTGAAGGGGACAGCTTAAATACCCTGAAATGATGAGAAGCCTAACCCTGTAATGACATGTTTCTTCCTATTCAAATCAACAGGACAGTCACACAATAGACATGGATGGATCCAGAGAGTGGAGAGCGATGGGTGCACAGGCAGCGAGGATAACCACACAGCTCAAGAGGCCATGGCCACGACCCCGACCCCTCCCTGTGATCCTGGATGTCAGTGAGCTCTGAGAGCTCTCTGGTGTGTCAGGGCAGCTCCTGCTGGGAGCTCAACATGGGCTCAGAGCTCTGTGAGCAGCACAGGAGAGGAAGGAGGAGGGGCAGATGCAGCAATACTCAGCCCCTCCTTTCACAGGGCTCTGGAGCCACCCATAACTACATGTCCTCTCTTTCCGCTTTCTGCTGAATTCAGCAGGGAGAGGAAAGAGAAGAGCCAACAGCAGCAGACTCTGCAGCTGCCAGAAAGCAAAGTCACCAGGCTTCCCTGTGCTGGCCAGCTGGTGAACACATAGAGCTCCTAGCACAGGCAGAAATGCACTGAGAGCTCATTATGCATGTGGTACACAGCCAAACGGTGGGGTGTGGGGGTGTGTGCGCACAACTGAACCACTGCACCTCCTGGATCTGCCCCTGACAACAGAGGGACAGTCAGTGTGAGGAAGGGCACTAACAGAACCCAGCACCAAAACTGTACATGATAAAGTAAGTTTTACTTACCCTGTTCAAGCAGTACTTGCTATCTTTCCCATAAAAATGCTGAAGACATTTCATGTTTTGCTTATCTACAATTTTGTTGAAGAATTCGTTTATTGTTTTTACAGATACTGCGCAGACAGCTGATCTGTTTGTCGGTTCTGAAGAGTCTGGTTTACTTTGTGCAAAGACGCCATACAGAATGTCATCATTCACTCCAAGACCCATTTCATGGGCCAGAGCTGCACCTGGCTTGCTTACATATGCAGCCTGCAAAATATTGAATATCTCCCTTCGAATTGACCTCTTTCTCCGTTTTTCAGTGAAAATGCACTCAAGGGGCATTTCCATGTAAGAACGCAACTCAGAATCCAAGGAGCAGAACCGGATGATTCTTGTGTGAAAAGCTTGGGAGTCAAGAGATTCTCGCTGGACTGTCAGAAAGTAGACAAAGTGGTCATTTTCAAAGGCATGGACATACTTGATGGGATAAGAATCCCTGTACTGTGGGAGAACATCTATATAAGATTGATCTGTAAGAAACTCAAAACCATCCTGGGTTTCTTTTAACCTTCTAACTGATACTGAATGTAGTGTATGCTGTGGCTGAAATGAAGACTTCATGGTATTCCCAACAAAGAAGTTTACAAACCTGTCCTTTTCTGTCACTAAAACTTTGGTTCCCAAAGTGCTTACAACACAGTCAGGGCAGTTATATGACTCTCCATCCATCTGCTTTGAATACATGCAATGCACTTCACTTTGTATGTCCGCAGGGTTGTCAGGGTGAATGATGTGACGGTGACATATACCCCTACTTACACTACCACAGCTGATGAGCTGATCATCATAGTATGTTTCTAGGAGCAAAGCCATGTTGACATTATCTTTCCAAATGCTACTGGATAAATTGGCTTTATCTTTGCAGTCTTCACAAGGTGCACAATCAGGGTTTTCCAATACAGGCCCAGTCTTGTACACAGAAATGTTATGAAGGGTTTCATTTAAGACATAAATCTTGTTGACTGCTCCAATATAGATGTGATGGTCATATAAAATTATATTCTGGATTGGCGTTTCTGCAATGAAATTAGGGAGATGATACTTGGCACTCATATTCATCTCTGATTTTATAGCTGCTTCTTTACATTGTTCAGTGCTTCTCTGCACCAAAGCAAACAGGAAGACAATTATCCCAGATGCAGATGCTGTTACAGACTTCATTGCTGTAGCTTTTACCTGTAAAATATATTTAAAGGCTGTTTATAATTCATTTATTGAAACTTCAGTTTATCTAATACCAGAGATATGCTTCTATGCTATGTCTGTTAACCACACCCATTTTAAGTGTTACAGTTTTGCCCTGTGTTCATAGTGTTGTTCTACAGATTTGTTGTTACAATGTCTTATGGCAGTGGTGTAAAACATATGGCCCACGGACCCCCCTTATTTGGCCCACAGTGCTGTTCCTGCAGCTTATAGTTGACCCATGCGGTGCATGCCAGATTAGGGCCCAGGATGCACGCCTATTCCAGCTGGCCCAAGAAGTAATCTGCATGTGACACACTCTGGTCTGTCTGAGATGAGTGCCACATGTGGCATCTGGCTCCACTGGTCCAGGACTGTGCTGCACATAGTGCCTACTCTTGCCAGTCCAGGCCTGTAGCTCATGTGGCCCCCATTCCAGCCGGCCCAGAATCTGCGCTGCACATGGCACCTGCTCTGCCTGGACTGGGACATGAGCCACATGTACTGCGTGTTCTGGCCAGTCTAGCTTGTGAGCCAGGTATAGCACAGGTCCCGGACCAGCCAGAGTGGATGCCAGATCCAGCATGTTGTGGGGGAGGGGCCATAGGTCTCCTGCATGCCAGATCTGGCACCTGCTCTGGCTGGTCCAGGACCTGCGCTGCATGCGGTGCCCATCCTGGACCAGTCAGAGTGGGCTCTGCATGTGGCTTGTGCCCTGGACCAGGCAGAATGGGTACTGCATGTGCTGGATCTGACGTGAGGGTGAAGGGGTCTGTGGGCTTGATTTAGCCTACTGTCAGGGACTCTGAGCAAGCAGACCAGCCTGGGACAAGTACTGTTGGAGACTCTGAGCTGGCAAATACCTCAGCCTGAGCAGGTAAGACCAGTCTGAACCAAGTACCTCAGCAACCACACCTGAAGCAAGCCTCAGCAAATGAACTGTGCCCCAGTTTAGAAGCAAAGAGCAACCTGATTAGCTGCTAGGAGTGCTGCCTACCCACCAGCTGGGGCCCTGGGTTTGCAGGCCAGTCAACAGTTCTGTTGTAGCAAGCCTCCTGGTTTCTAACCATGGTTTTTGGCTTACTTCTGGACTTTAGCTTTGGATGTCCTTGTGGATCTGTTCCCTGGCTCCTGATCCCGGTTTGACTCTATTTTCATACTTTGCCCTGTAGATTGCCCTTCAGATTGGTAATTGGCATCTGATACCCAAATCCTGCCCCTGCACTGTGTTGAGAACTCGATGTCTGGATTTCCCTCTGGTTTTGGTAATACGGCTCCCACGCTATGATCTAGCTCCAGGCCCCTGCTTTTCCTCAGTGGTCTAACCATTGGACCAGAACACCTAAGCCCTGGACCCTTACAGCTGCAAAGCCAACCCCATGCTGTTCACTTGGCCCTTGGAGCCAGGTGAGTTTGATCCCACTACCTACTGGATACCTATTGCACTGGACCTCACACAGCTCCCAGAAGCAGGGGCTTAAGCACCGGTGCACTGTACTAAAGAAATGGAGAAACTATCATTTTAGCTGGTCTACTTCTACACATACACTAAAACAAATATGACTAAAATGGTTTACACAAAGCTAGTCCTGAGATGTGCTGAAAGCAAGGCTGATCTCAGCACTGTTCTTGGCATACACGCCAAGCAGCTATAGCACTTCAGCACGTGGAAGTAAGGCATTCTGTAGGTTTTCCAAGGGGAAAACATTTTGTAATAGTTGTTCAAGAAATGCAAAATGAAAATATTACCCCTGAAACCTTCTGAAGATACTATTATGAAACAAATAGACTACTTTTCTTCTTCTTTGCTAATTCTTCCACCATTTTTATTGAAATGGCTTTTGACATTTTTCACTAACAGAACCATTTTTTTCTCCACAAATAAGTCTTCAGTAAAAGCCCATTTTTCAACCAAAATGGTTCTGACTGAAAAAAACCCTCAAAAACGCACAGCTGTTTCTCTTAGAAAGGTCCTTATCTCAAGTTAGAAAATGCTTTTCTAATAAGTTATGAAAACATTTTATTCATTTGCATGGTACTTGATGTTTGCAAGTTAATTTTAGGCCCTGTAACGCAGTAATAGGTCACTTTGGGGAACCGTTAGAAGATACAGGCAAATGACTGTATTGTAAATAAAGAGACAGCAAGTGAATTACAGCCATGGAATGATGAAATCAAGAAACGTAGCACATTTCTTTTTTACTTTATTCCACACAATTGTTTCATGTGGTTTTAAAAAAATCAAAGGCCCATGAATAGCACGGTATTTAAACTTTCTCACAAGACTAAATACATGAATTGTGGTTGGAGTATTTTGGTTCAGAGTCGACATTCTACTCTAAGTCACACCAGACGTAGTTCTGTTAATATTGTGCCACAGTTTCTAAGCTAAATTTAGCTTCCTTAAGGAGAAACCTAAAAACACTATGGCCACATGCTGTTTAGAGGATTTGGGGAAAATACAGTTTGTCTGTAGTTCAACAATTGTTATTGATAGACAAATGATAGCAACCATGTTGGATCTTTAGGGACCTAAAGCAAGACTTGAAAGAAACAAATAATAATGGGCTGTTCATCGACTTCATAGATAAAATTAAAGAACATTTCTGGCTAAAATAAGCCCTTATCAACCAGATTTGTTTATGTATATGTCTATATCATCCATATTTTTCCTTAGATCTTTAAAGTTCTGGCTTAAATCGTTAAGCTATAAAAACAGAATTTTTTTCCTAATCAGAAAACTGATGTCTAATTAGAACTTCCTAAACTGTATGGCAAGAATTGTGAATAAGGGTGGGAAAGATATCAGAACCAAGAGACTTTCAGGAGTAGTCTCCAACACATACTAGTAAAGACAAGTCTTTCTCAACCTTTTTAGACTTAAGGCACCTCTAGATAGACTTACAGCACCCCTCGGGAAATGGCAGCTCTTAGTTTTCACCCTTCTTTTGACTACAGAAAAAATAGTAGAGCAGTTTTTTTGTTGCAAAGAACTCAGAAAGGCCACAACTACAGATTGCTATTTGAAATCTCTGGGTTTATCTTGTGAATCATGTTTGCAAGCCTAACAGTGATAACACTGCATGATGCCCTTGAAAGAATCTTGAGGCACCCTGTTTGAGAATCACTGAGTAAAGAAACATCCACTTATATAGTAGGAGGAGTAATAAGGACATTCTTTTTAAAATCAACTGGCACTTTATACTCTTAATTAGAGACAGCACAATAATGTGGAGAGCAAGAATAGACTGATTAAAATAATTAGGGTTGATATAAAATAACCATAACTTGAATTATTCAATACATATCTGTACAGTACACCAGGTGCTGGCTCTTAAGTAGCACAGAGAGAAAATGGGTTTTCATCCCATTTTCTGTGATGATAAAAAGACCTTCTGAAGGTTCTGAGGGGTTGAAAAATCTGAGAGAGAATTCTCATAGCCACCTTCAGCTCTTGGTTCATCAAGATTTAGAGTAGGGATAGTGCCTGGTGAGTAATTTCAGGGATCCTGGTTTTCTCCGTTTATACACTGAAAATTTTCTGATAAAAATTGTTAAATTCTCTGAATAAAAACCCTAAAATTTGCCTCTCACTCCCAACCCACAGCCCCCTGGCCTTGCCAGTGCCCCTCACTCCCACCTCACAGGCCCCCATCCCTCCAGCCCTACTGGTGCCCCTTGCTCTCAACCTGCAGTCCCCAGTCCCTGACGGTGCCTCTCACTCCCAACCCACAGCCCCCCCATGCTCCAAGCCCTGCTAGTGCCCCTTACTTGCAACCCACAGCCCCCTGCCCCCCAGGTGCCAGGGATATGGAACTAGGGACCAGGACCAGGGCCCACAGCCCATTGCTTTCCTCAGCAGTGTCCAAGCCCTGGCTGATGCCTGTGGGAGTTGGCAGCTGTTGTGGCAGGAACAGAGCAGGGCCGAGGTGGGCTGTCCCACTGTGGGCTCAGGGCTCCCTGCCCTGCTGCCCTCACCCCAGGGCCTCTGCAGCCCAGCTGGTGGGACCCAGCATGGGAGAGCAGAGTGGGGCCAGAAAACTTGGTGCCACCACTGCTGCCAGCAGCCCTGTGCCAGCCTGGTAGCAGCAGGGGGCACAACTCTGCACTGCCAATCTTGCTGCTGCCAGGTGAGCAGAGGGTGCCTTGCCATCGTAGAGGAGCTGGAGCAGGGCTCCCTGTCACAGCACCAAATCTCTTGGCCCTGCTCTGCTCTCCCATGCTAGTTCTTGTCTGCTGGGCCACAGAGGCCCTGGTGGGAGGGCACCAGGGTGGGGAGCCCCGAGTCTGCAGCTGGCAGCACACATCCACCCCTGAGATAGTGACTGACTGGTCACTGGGGGGGGGGGGGGAGGGGATGTGCCCCCCACCATGCATCCCTCCTCAGGAGTGTGCACAGCAGTGGGGAGCCAGCCTACCCACCACCCCCTGGACAAAACAGCTGTGTCTCTGTCCCACATCCCAGCTCCAGGTTCCACACACCATCCCGGCTGGACAGCACCTCCAGCTCTGCCCCACTCCCTCCCTCTCTCCCTCATTGTGAGGGCCTCAATCTGTCCTCCCCACCATAGACTTACCTGGAGGGAACTGCAGGAGCTGCTCACCACCTTGCCTGGCTGTCACGTGCATGTGTGCGCATGCACATGTACGTGGCACCTCCTGCCTGACTGCCCTCCTCCCACTCCCTCCAGCCCCAAGCAGCCCCTTGCAGGCTGGTACTCTGTCAGCATGAAGGGGAAACCCTCTGTTTCCCATGTTTTTCTCCTTTAAAGGAGAAAATTATTTAGAGGAAAAAATCCACATTTTTCCATGAACGGAAAACCTGCATTCCAGGAAATTATTCAGGGGGTGAGGGAAGCAAGGGAAAAACTCTTTTTCTCTGTCTCATCCTCCCTCTCTGTTTCTCTTGTTTTTACCAGGCAAGTACATTACTGCAGGAAATTGGCATTTTCTGATAAACACCTGTTTCACTGGAAAAGCCCCTATCAGCA